TGGGGAAGCGGTTCGGGAAAGCGCCGGGAGGCAGGGAAGGGAGAGGGTTTGGTAAAACACCTCAAGTGTTCGCCCTGCGGGGAGGGCGGATGAAGCTGGGAGGGGAGGCCCTGCTGCTCGGGGGTACCGGGGTCTGGGGGTACCGGGGTCTGGGGGTACCGGGGTCTGGGGGTAGCAGGGAAGGCTCCAGGGGCTGCTGCCTGCAGCTGGGACTGCCCACACCCCGCTGCAGCCGGGGAACTGACAGCAGGACCCTCGGAGAGAGGGTTTGCTTGTTTTTTCAGTGCTCCGTAGTGAAACAGTTGTTTCTGACAAGATTTGTTCGTTTCGCTTAATTCATTGGTCTGTTTGTTGGTTTTACTCTTTTTTTCCCTCCTCTCTCCTTGAAAACAACAACCAAACAAATGAAGAACTGAGGGATGCAGCTGTGACACCTAAAGTGTTTGATGCGCGTGGCTGTGATGCAAACACCTTCAGGTGTTTTGTGCAAATTGGGTGTAATTTAGCACCTTTTTGTGTGGTGGACTATTCATTTTTCAAATCTAAACAAACATCCTTGGAGCTTACATCGAGTATCTGTTGTTTGCAAAGAATCCCTCTTATTGGTGTGTTTATTTGAGCCTAGTAGAATATTTAGGTTTGTTTTCCATCTAGTTCCAAAGCACATCTTTGCAGAGGCTAATGTGGATTGATATTTGATCCTTTCTAATCCAATATGAATCATTTTGCAGGTTACTTTGTGTTCTTTCAAAATGAATGGTGAAGAGGAAATATGGGAACAACTAGACAGAGAACTTGACCACTGTGTTGTGGATATGAAGCCTTATGTTCTAAAGCTGCAGCAGAGCTCAGGTAAATAAGGCAAAATGTGCATATAGAGACACACTAATAACAAAATTCCAGTTTAATGATAGTTGTCATATGTACTTGTATCACTTTCTTTAACAAGATGCGTGATGTCTGTTGTTACAAGGTACTGTTTTGAAGAGCATTTATGCAACTTCTAAAGTTACATTTTTTAGGTACTATTACTATTGTTTGAGTTTCTGTCTTGGTGATGCAGAAATACATCAACTTCTCTTTTTAAAATGAATAATTCAGTAGGAGCAGAAAGTTTCTAAGACATTGTGTTGCAATTTTATAAGTGCAATCTCAAAATATCATTTAGAGAGGTTTTTTCCAATTTGTTGTAGGAATATGTAATAATATAAGCATCAATTAATAGAAGATCATAAATCTAGTGATAAGAACAGACTTATTATTAAAGGCACCAACCCTACAAATTAAGACCTTGCTTTGTAAACCTTGAATCAAATGAATAGTTTAAATATCTGGTAACAAAGCTTGTGTAAATAGATATTTTTAGAATGAACAAAGTTTTATTGTGTATTTAAAATATGAATGCTCATGCAAGCTGTGTGTTGGAGTTAGAGGCAGCTCTTGCAGGAAGTTCCGAGTTCCTGGTGACTTGTGTGTTCCTTGCTTATTAGAGATTAATTCCAAATATGCATTATCCAGAAGTCATGTCAACCTCTGTAAACATAAATTTATACAAAATATTTCTGGGTGACATACATTTGAACTATTATTAAAGACCTATTTTTAGTCTAGGTACTTAATTCATTTTTCCTGTGGTTCTGTCATTTGTGGTTTTTGTTTGGTTTGCTTTAAACTTTTGGGTAGAGAGGAGACCTCTACTGAATGGGTGGGCAGTAATGGCTTCTGGTATTGCTGTGTGTTTGATTTGCTCTGAAGATGAGTAGTGATTCTGTATATCTGCATTTTCAGAAAGGCAAAGATGTGCACTGTGGATTAAAAAGCTGTGTGAGCCCTCGGGAGCAGGCACAGGAGTGGGGGGAAGGAAGAACCGGAACCTTCATGCAAAACTTCTGCTGCACATGCTGAAGCGAGGTGTCCTGGAGGGTCCTTTTGCACAGAAACCAGAACCAGGAAGACTGAAAACTTTACCTTCTTACATGGTGGGTGTAACCTCTTTGTAAGCCAAACTTGCTTAAATATATTCTGAAAATACTTTAAAGTGTATGATTTGGCATAACTGTGCAAACCAATTCTGTACGAACTGAGTGGAATCACATGTGGTTGATCCAGGCATTTATGTTGCGTGTCTTGTAGTTGGGGTTGGAAGAATCTTTCAATGTACAAAACCTTTTAAGGCACATTTCTTCAAAATTAGGGTTCTAGGGTGGCTTATAAAAAATACGTGTTCTGAAGGACAGATAATTTTTGTCTTAATTCTTTGGAAGGGTGAAGACTCTAGGGGCTGTATTTTGTCTTAATCAGCAGATGGTTCTTGTGAAAAGAAAAATGTGCTTGAATGAGGTGACCTTGGTAGTCTGAGGTGACTGTAGTAGTTGATGTTTCTATGAAAGAAAACAGTATTTCACATAAATATTGTTAAGCTTGCAGTTTTCTGAAGACCTGAATATACTGTGGCAGTCATTGCCATCAGCTTTAGTGAGAGAAGTTTTAATTTATGCTAAAATTACCCATATTGAAAGAAGTGCTGGAAAACATTTACACCATTGCTTGTTGTGCTAACTTCCATGGATTAGAAAGGTAGTATTTGCACACCTCACTGACTTAGTTGGAAAAAGAATTTTGATACTGCAGATATTCCTGCAAGAAACAACATCAACAGTGTAAAGAATATATTTGTATAAATATATTCTAGTGTTGATTTTGCATTTATTTTACTTATAGTCAATTTATTTTGATGAACCAAGTTCAAGAAGTGTACGGACTAGTAGCCCAGACTGCTTACCTGACTGGGTAGTGGGAGAGCTAGGAAACAGTGAATCTAAGCATGAGGAATCATGGAAGACATCTTCTAAAGAGGAGTCATTTTTAGCAACACCACTTACATATGGGTAAGATTTTTGTATTTCCTTTATTCAGCATTCGATTCCTCTTTAATAGATGTTTGATTTAATAAGCTCTGTATGTTTGAATGTGTATGTATGAATTTATTACACTCCCTCATGGACTCATCTTGAACCTAGTGTTTGTGCTTTATATACAGAAACTCTGGTAATAGCTTCCAGCTTAACTTCTATACTTTTCTGTTATTATGCTCCTCCACTAGATCATCTCTGGCTTCTGTAAGTCTTCTTCCATGTGCTGTAGCTCGATCCCTTTTCCTCTTCCTTTTGTACTCTTTCTTTCCCCTTTCAGTTACAGAAACTTAGCATGGAAAATCATCTGGCCAAAAAGAGAAATTTGGCAGGAACTGAAGAGAGGACTATCTATCCATCTTTCTGTGAGCATGTTAGTACTAACTAAACACCTGTTTGTCTGTGTTTCATCATGGCTATTTTATGAAATAGCAAGATTTCTTTGCATTTCCTGTAAGCTTCATGAATCTTGGACTTCAGCAGGTCAGACTGGACCAGCTGTAGTTGTTAAAACTTATGAGGCTAAAAATCCAAGCTGGTGCCCTTGGGATACTCTGCTGTGTTGTTTTGTTCTCCTGTGTGAGGAGGAGAATTTCGTTAAAACCTATGAGGCTAAAAATCCAAGCTTGGGGTACTCTACTGTGTTTTGTTCTCCTGTGTGAGGAGGAGAATTTGCAGTGACTCCATGTCCATCCTTATTTGAATGGTCTCTGTTGGAGTTTGATTTAAAATGTTTTGATTTCTATCATGCTGTCTACTACAAATACACGTGCTTTGTTGGTGGCTGGCACCCTTGTGCCTACATCCTGCATGTTTGTCATGAGGATAACAAAAAAACCCAGTATTGCTCATTTGTAGTTGTATGGCAGAATCCTGAAAATCTGTAGCTGCACTTGCTGGGGCAATCCATTGGGCAGGCTGGTTCTGTAGGTTTGCAGGAGCCAATAAGCTGAAGATGCATCCTTAGTTCCAGTCAGCTGTTCACAGAGCAGGTAAAGGGATGAGATGTATTGGGTTATTAAGGCTTCTTTTCCTGTTTGCTTATAAACATGTCCCAGTGAACTTTTTTTGGTCCTATTTTGGGGGAATCTTAGATACATTTCAGTTTAATCTATGTTCTCTTCCTAATTATTTAAGTTTTTCTTTTGCAGTGCTGTTTTTGCTGCAGTTGCTTTGCACTGATTATCAAGATTTATGTTCAATTTTTTTTTAATGTGGCTGCATTTCAGTTACGGGTGGAATTGCCTCTTGTTTCTTGTTTTGAAGCTCAGTTGTTGTTTAAACTCTCTGAAGTCCTTGCTGCAAAAAGCACTCAGAGGTAGGATGTGAGTATCATTTGAAACTCAGCAGGCTCTGCACAGGAGGAAGTGCTTGCTCTAATTCTGTATGAAACTTCTGGTTTGGTTTCATTGCATTATGAATGTGCTCACAAGTTTTGTCTCAGAAGTCTAATTCTTTTTTCTGTGTTCACTTACATTTTTCTTAAGTGGTCATTAGCTGTTCATTTGGTTTAGGCACACTGACCTGTATGCCATGTATCACAGTCCAGAGTCTTGTGTTTTAAATTTTTTCAGCTTATTTGGGTAGATGACAGGCACCCTGGCAAGTTAAGACTTCAATATTGAGTATCTTGGAACTTTTCTTCTTACGTGTCCATTAATTCTGTGTGATTCTATCAGTCATTTTAAAAGTTGCTCTTATGACTGATGCATCTTCTTGCTTCAAGTCCTACAATATTAATACTGAAGGACCTTCTAGTTGCTTACAGTGAAATGCTCTGATAGGAACCTGTGGTTTTGATAGCAGACTTGTGGTTTAAGAAACGAAGGAGAGAAATGGCCAGTTGTGTTACCATTTTACTACTTTAATCTTGGAGACACAAAGAGCTGTTGGGAAGAGCTGTCCAGATACCTTCAATTAAAAAAATTAGGCTTGACCTTTTGAAAATAAGGAATGCATTATGTTTTAGAAATGGTTCTGGAGACCTCAGCTGAGTTGGTCTTAGGTCAAGATGCCTGGCATGGATCCCATCAGATTGTTTTGCTTGCTTGGAGTAGCAGCACCATCATGATAATGTCACTCTGGGTATTAGGAGTGATAACCAGTATCAGCACAACTCACCTCTTATGCCCCATCTAGCATATTGATAAATTGCATGAAAATACACATAATTTCTCTGCATTCCTTACCTGTGCTGTCAGCTGGGGTGTTATTTGGGTGGGCTGAGGCAGTGCATCCAGCTGGTGCTTGTTCCTGTTTGAAGAAGGCTGAGGTACAGTTCTACCTACTCTATCCCTTGTATTCTTTGCCATGTTTTTTTTCTGTTTGCTACCTGGATTACAGTAGAATATTGGAAATCTGACCCTTTTCCCATTCATTATCTGCACCTGAGAGTCAGCTTGGACTGGCAAAGTTCCCTGAGACATGGGTGGGGTAGTGAAACTTTTATTTAATTCCCTTTTTTGTGCTGTGGGACTGTAGAAATAGCTGCATTGGTGATCAACAGATGGTTTTGGTGAGGTCTCTGGAGTCCTGTGTTGCATACTGTTTCATGCCACGAGAAGCCAGTGAATGTGATGGAATAAGTAACTGGTTTAGAGAAATCTGGAAGTGAAAGTTGGCTGCATTCACGGCTGTGCTCGTGGGTGCTCGTACCAAGAGTGGGGCTGTGTCTAAGGAAATCTGGATTTCTGTGTCAGCAAGTGGAATGTTGATAGCTCTGTAGAGTACATAAATGAATCTTTATAACAATGAGAAATTTACATGTAATTTGCAAGTTATGCCAGAAGAAATACTGAAGGTAAATGTTCGCTGTTAGGTTTTGTGCAGACAGCTCATTGAACACTTATTTACATGTGTCTGTATTAAACGGTTGCTAATCTAACTGTATAGATCCTGTGTTTCTTTGCATTTACAGTTTTGCCTGACGTCAGGGTAAGGATGTGGAGTATTAAATATTTCTGGAACCTGCAGTTTGTAAAGAGTGCCAGGAGGTGGTGATCTTGTTCCATCATACTTGACCCTCTCAGGAGGACTGTATCCGTAGGCAGAAGTAGTTGGATCCAGATTTTGCATGCCAACCGTGGCTCAGTTCCTACAGATAGGCTAGAACATTTTCTCAGGGCAAAACAGATAGTGTCAGTGTAATGTTTTGATGTTTGTTTATCTCAAGATTCCCTCCTTCAAAAGAACCAAACTACTGGAGATGTTCTTTTCATAGTTACTTGTATCTTGCAATACACATATTTCTATGGTTGAAGACTGAGGCTTTTCTGTAAGAAGTTATCTGACTAAATAAAGGTAGCGAGACAAACCTTATTTGCCAACTAAGGTGTAGAGGTGTAAGGTCAGCCCAGGTGGTGCTAGAAAGGTGCTGTTTTATTTTGGAATGTGAGAGAATCTGTTTTAGGAATGTGTAGTTTGTTTTGCACAGAAACCTAGTCTGTCTGACCCCATAGGAAAATTCTGCTCTATGTTTATATATTATCCCTGAATAACACTGTTAAAGGTTAGTGCGTGGCTGTGCTGCACCAGAAGGAACCAGGGAGTTTCCCTTACTTTGTTCCTAGTAGGAAATTATTTACTGATCTCCTTTATTAACAGCAAATTGCTTCCTTCTCCTGTTTTAGCTCACTGTTTTGGCTGAAGCAGGGGGTCACAAGGCTGGTGTCAACACTGACCATTCTCCACTCACCTGCCTTGGGAGGAAAAAAATAATCCTGTGATTTTTGGAGCCTGACTTATATTAGCAGAAGGTGGAAAAGGGAGTGAGCAGGTGGTATTGCTTGATAGGAGCAAAATTATGGTCCATCTTTAGTCTGTTGTTTTGGTGTTGGTTTTTTTTTCCAAATTCTGTTTATAGAATCAACTAAAAGAACTTCTTCAAAATAGCAAATATAGGAGAAATAATAGATCTAGATTTTTTTCCCGAGTTTTTTTACGATTTAGAAATAGTACAGGTAACACAGGTTGGTTTGAATACGTATCTATATTCCTTCATCTCTGAATGATAGGAGCATGAATTTTCTCTCATTTTAAACATTGGAACTTTATTGATTTATTAGGCAATCTGAGTATTGTTCAGGCAAGAAGTCTGATAAAAGGGCAGATTTACTGGCAGGCAAAGATTTGTCTCCTTTCAAAGAAAGATAACTTTGTGTCAAAGGAAACCTTGGTAAGAAATGCATGATTTGGAATGCTAGAGAGAGTCCTTGTATTATTGTACTTCTTTTGATCTTTTTTACCTCTAGGACTTTGCTTATCTAAACTATTTACTGCTTTGTAATTGTTATTTTTGAACCGGGGTATGTTGTTGCTATTCCTTGGTGCTGGAAGGGAAGGTGTGCTCCCAGTTGTTGTGTTTCACTGGTCCCTGCTGTTTTGCTGAAGGTTGGGGCAGTTGTGCTTGGTGAAAAGTTTGTCTGTTGCTCTTTCTAGAAGTGACTAGTTTACGTTGCACATCCAACAGTTGTCTTTCTGTTCATAAACACTTAATTCTTCTTGGTGTCTTTTTGGCATAACTTACTGTCTCATTTGCTGCCAGATGAAAAGAATGAAAAGTATTTTAATGGTCTGACTTGATTTTGATACAATGTAGCTAGGCCTAAGAAGGTGAACGGAATCAGAAGAGCTTTTAATTCCTTTACTAGATGTGGATTTGACATTGCAGTATATGCTGAAGGGTGTTCAACTACTGTTTGGGATCTTCTGCTGTGTCACCCTAACTAAAACTTCTATAATTTTAATTTTATTTTCTTCTGGGCTCTTCTTTCTTTATTCTATAGTTGACAAAGGTCTGGTGACCATGTATATCAGGGACAGTTGTCTTCACCTATCTGCTACTCTTCATTCCCTTTTGTTCAAATTCTTTATGACAAAAACTTAAATAAATTAATCCCTGTTACTCTGTGGACAGAATAACTGTTCATGCTGTACTTGTGTCCTAGTTTGTGGGCCTTTCTTTACCATCCTCCATATTTACCATTTTCATTCATAAAATAGAGCTCATAAGATATTTGCAATAATTAAAAAAAAATGAAACTATTTTTTATCTATTTTGATTTATATCTTGACAATTATTTTCCCTTGTGTATTTTAAAAGATTTAATTTTAAGGTGAATGTTGTGTATCACAAGTTGCTGAAAATAATTTTTTCTCTTTCTCCTTGCTCTTTTTGCTAATAACAGGGAAAAGCTCAAGCATAATGAGAAGCCAGAATTAAGATCACATTCTAGGAGTCCTCCTCCCCGGACAGATGAAGATAGCCTTGCCACACCATCATCTGTAAGATGCTTCTACTTTTTGTCATAAAACTTGCTTTAGTTTCAATTAATTGGTTTTTTGTATCCTCATAAACCTGTTATTTCTAATTGCCTGAGTCATCATCCCTGCAAGCACGTGCAGACATTTGGGAAGGAGTGATAGGAGGGACTAAAGCCCATCAAAATCTGCCCTCTGAGAGTGCAGGAAAAAAAGAATTCTTGTAGGATGGTCTCAGTTCATCCTGACAGCAGACCTCTGGTTAGTGTAGTGTGTTTCATGTCTGCTGCATTGTTTTTCCCAGGCTTGGCAAACTGACTGTGCTGACATCATCTTGGATTTTGCAATAGTAGATTAAAGAAAGCTGCATAGATGGCTTTGGCTCTGTTTAATCCTGGTTGACCTCTGAAAGAGTGAATTCTGGACAGTTTGTCTTATCAAACTTTACACAACTGGCTTTATGGCTGATGGAAGGACAGTGAACAGACTTAATGTAAAGACCTTTTAGTCCAAAATATTTTATGGTGTTGTATGTATCGTTGCAAGCTCCCACGAAACACTGAATTTGGTGTGTATATTTTGTCAGTCCGCCCACACTTTATTTTTTATTGCGTCACAGCAACAGCTTAGAAAGATTGCAGCTGGAAGTGGGCTTGTTGACACCTGAGCAAGGCATATAGGTTGTTCTTACCCTTCTTCACTGGGCACAATCAAAAATTTGTGAGGAGATGAAGTGCAAGGAACTGAAAAGTTGCTTCTGGCCTCTGTCTTTCTGAGGACATTTTCTGTTCTGCTCTGCATTTGGAGTAAAGGACTGGCAAAGGGATGCTTTATCATGGCAGGCTGCAGATGGTTTCTTGGCAAATATTGAATGTCTTTGCTCTAGACTCTTGTTGGAATGAATGTACTTAAAATGTGTGTATTCATTGTATATATACAAATGTAATTAAAAAAAAAAGCCGTAACTAAAAATAAAAACAGATGCTGGATTTACTAAATTTCTCCTCATTGGTTTCCTGTTTGTTTTACTTGACTTAAAGAAATATTTCGATGGAACAGGTTCTGTAAAGGAAAGGATTTCCTTCACTTGAAATCTGAATTTGGTGTTTTAAGGATTTTGTGGGGTTCTTCTGTTAGGTTTTTTTTTTTGGGTGTTTTTTTTTTTGTTCCTTGTTCTACCATGGGCATCCAGAGAAATGTTAGACAATCTCTGCACTTCATTGTTCTTCAGCTCCATATACTGAATTCTACTGTGATTGCAGCTTTAAAAGGGCCTTTAAGTGAAATAATCCTCTCTTGCTTTGCCAAACAGTTTTATGAACATTTGGCTGCCTGGAACAAATAGGATCTTGTTCTGTTGTCAGGGGCGCACAGATGTTCTGGCATAATTCAGGCCCAGGTAGAGGAACAGGGAGTCTTAAGAAACATTAAGAGCTGTCTCAACCAAGTGTTGATTAACTGAAGTCAAAGCTCCATTCACTGTATGTTCATAATGAATGAGCAGATTTTAAAAAGAGGTGCTTGGCTGCCAAGACAGACCTCTTGCTAACAAAACTTAATGAGACAAAGTAATTAACGCTTCAGTGTTCTTTTTCTCTAAGTAGTGCATCTCAGTTAAGGGGAATTTTCAGTACTGGCTCTCCTATTTGATCTATTAAATGCAATCAGTGGTTACTGTTATCCTACAGGAAGAGCTCCCTTCTGAAAGATGTAGCCTTGAGCTACAATAGCTACAGTCCTTGCTGAACGTTGGAAATGGTTTCTGCAGAGAGGATCTCTAGCCTTGAGCTGGGCAGCAGCTGCTCTGTCCTCTGTTTTTCCAGTCCTGCCCACTGTTAATATCCCTGCCTTGCTGTGGCTTCCTTTACTCATTCTTTATTATTATTTGGAGGCTGATCCAGTCATCTCTGAATTCTGGATTAGCCTCACAAAAGGTACTATGGAGATGGCTCATTTCTAGAATAAATATGTTGCCTGAAGAATGGAGTAGTTTGGTTGTTGTTTAGTAAGCTCAACCTTTGTAGAAGAGTCCATTGTGTTGGAAATAGGTAAAATAAAGAGCAACATTAGAGGCTAACTTACCCTCTGAATCCCCTTCTTAGCATGGTATCCTATTGGTAATTTGGCTTTTCAGATTAAAGCTGTCAGAGGTATCCTGGCACTATCAGAAGTGCAGTGTGAGCATTGCCAAGTCTAATGAGAAGCTTTATTTTTAGATTATGTATCTGCCAGCTTTTCTGATATTTTGTTTGACTTTTTTATGTTCCAGGACCATCATCATAAAAAACCCATTTCCTTGGATGACAGTGACCTGGAAGCACGTCTGCATAGTTGGAATCTTGGGGTAAAATGGACAGAGTACATTATTTACTTACTGACTTGAAATGAAAACTCCTTAGTCAGGTAGTCTGCATCTCTGGATTTGGTCAGCAAAACTTTATGTAGGAATCAATAAATGAAATGGTAAAGCTTGAAAGGGTAGTTTAAATACATGTCCTCTTGAGAAGAGAATGTTAAAAATGCCTCTTATTCCCTTGGTTGTATTTCTGTGGAATTAGTCCATGACAATTCTAAGGTTCTACTGAAGTCTCTTCTCTCTGTAGTTGTGTTGCACTGTTTTTTCTGTTGTGTTGCTTTGTCTTATTTAAGGAGGGATGAGATCTAGTTTCTAATGAACTATTTAAGCTTAGTTTTGTTATTTTTTTAGAAATAAAATCTTGTGTTTTCACGTTGTCAATTTAATCAGTTACCAGATAATCCTTATCCTTCATACACTATCCAGCCCAGAGGGATATGGCAGCAATTTAAAATGTTGGCTCTTACACTCAATGGTTTGCATTCATGGCTAAGTTCTCTTCAGTAAAAACATAAATGGTAAGAGATAATTTTAACTTTTTCGTGTGCTTCTGGGTGATTCTGTTGCTGTTTTGGTGCCTGTCAGCATTCCAAGTGGAAATTTCTTTCTTGCTTTACTTCTGAGAGAGAAAGAAGTCTTGCTGTTCAGACAATCCAGGAGCTGCCTCACTGCTCTCTCCAAAGAAGGTGGGGATTAGTCAAAGTATTAGTCAGGGTGCATGGTATTTCTCCTTGGGAGTTCCTTGTCTTTTACAGAGTAATAAAATAACAACTTCTAGCACTTTCAGACTTAGACAGTTTTATTTTACAGGCATCATGGTTTTGTGGAGTGTGGAGCATGAATCTCCAGAAAGCTTTTCAGTAGCACATAACTCCCATTTGCAAAAGCACTGTGCAGGTGTCTGAAACAACTGTGCAAGCAGTCACTTGCAGATCTTGGATATTTGGGCTGCATAAATACCTGGCTGATATGCACAGATAGTTGTGATACCTTGAGCTTTCAAGCTGCTTCAAGGGGCAAACTTGCTCGTGGCCATTTTACAAATTGTTCCAATTGGTGCTGACAAAGACTCTCTTTATATCCAGCATTTTTGTATCAGTGTTGATCTGCCTGCTTGCTTATCTCTTTAATTGTATTTGTTTTTTATTTCTTTTTCTAATTGAAATTCCAGTTTGCAATCATGTTGTGTTGATAATAGATGGTTATTAAACTATGATGATTCCCCACTGATATGGGAACTTTCTTGGATAACAAATTGGCTACTGTGACACATAAATCAGTTTTTCAAGTCTCCTCTCCAGGGATGGTAATTAAACAATTCGCTAGTGAGAGACTTTGATTGCCTGATAAGACTTGTGGGGAGTTACCTGAAAAAGAGGATTTGAGGTTGCAAGAGAGAGGTTTCTGTAGACCAGTGTTTCCCTGCTATGGAGCTCGGCCTCCAGGGAGTTCTTAAAGGGTCAGGAAGTTTTAAGGAGTGTTTCATACTTAAAAAAGGAATGTGTAATTATGGAAGAGGAAAAAAAAAAAGCCTAATAAATGAGGGCAGCACTTGAGAATCTGTAAGGTTTGAGTGCAAGATGTGCCTGCTACTATTTGTAAGCATGTTTTTTGCTGTAGGAACATCTAGCTGTCTTTTAATTGCTACCTACATTTGCAGACCCTTTGAAAAACTTAATTTACATGTGATCCCACCTCAGATAGAGAACATCCTTGACCCAAAAGGGTACTTCAGTTGTGGGGGAAGTTAAGAAGGGAAATCCAGGATGGCTTTCACTTTGAACTGCTGTATATAAAGACCAGTTGTTTTTAAAAAGCTTTTCAAAATTTCCTTGGTGTGGGGTTGGTTTTTCTTTTTAGTTGTGTGCCAAGGAATGAAGGGTGACTCAGAGCTGCTAGGCTGGCAAAGATCTGTGCTTCTCTACATTTTGCTTGCCATGGCATTGGGGACACAGCTGATTCTGGGAATTTCAGACAAGTCCTCATGCAAGGATTTTTTTCTCAGTAAGAATCCTTGAAATTTTGGGAAGTTATTTTTATTTCAAGCAAGTGTATATGGAGAATATACTTCTATTCAAGAATCTGCAAATATCTAGACAGGTACTCTACATAAAGGTGAGCAAAGCTTAGCATCACCCAGCAGCAACTTGCTGCTAAAGCTTCACTGTTCAGTCTAGGCTTGTCTGGATTATAATGACCACTTACAAATAATTACTTTTCTTTTTCCCTTATCTTTTGGGCTTCTACATCTTTAATATGTTTTAAATTTTATCATCTTCAGAGGTCGTGTATTTTTAAGGTCACCTGCTGAATGTGTTGTGACTTCATGATATGCTTACATCAGTGGCTGAGATTTGTGTTTCTAGTGAGCAATAAAAGAATTTTTTCCATTTGCTTTGCAGCATTCCTGATTATCAAACATTTTAGTATACAAGTTCTTTAGATTCTAGTCATGCCTGGGTAAATGTGTAATAGAAAAAAGGTTGAGTTTTGATTGTGAAAATATGCCTTTCATACATGGAATACTAATATAAGCTAATTTTAAATACATTATGAAAATGTGTTTTTCTTATCCCTTAGTGACTTACAGGTGAGGACTATCCTTAATTCAGTGTTCATGCCTTAAAGTTCCATTTGCCATGTAGAAAAGAAGAAACCCATTTGTATTGCTGTTTGAAATGTTTCAGAGCCAGGAGTTGAGGCAAATGCAAGTCATCTTTGGGCATGTTTCTTTGAACTTTGTCATTATTCAGCTATTTAGGATATAATAAAATCCCCTGAATCCCCTTTATTTGACTTGACAGCTGTCAATAAAGTTCTGCAGGTGATTGCAAGCTAAGTACACTTAATAAAGAGGAAATCCTCAGCTTCCCTCTAGTTATGTCTCAAAAAATAATATTATGAAATATATGTAGTGTCAGGAAAAGAAGCTTGATGAATAATGGAATGAAACTTCTTTTTTTCTTTTTCTTTTTTTTCCCCATCTTTTTTCTAAGCTTTTTAGATTGCAGATAAACACAGTTTTTGAATATAAAAATTTATCTAAAGGACCAACAATGAATTAAACCACTACATATTCTTACCTGACCTGCTTACATAGTGTTTTTTTCATGATGCTTTTGGTACAGTTTCATTTGTCATTGAGTTGTAGACTTAGGTGCAACAAAGTAGCTTGTTTAAATATCCCAGGAAATTCAGCACTTCAGTTTAGGTAGAAAGCATACAAGGAGATGTTAGCCTGGGGAAATAGTACAAGGTTTTTTAATCAGGGAGAACATGACTTTTATCATTGGAATTCAGCCAGGACAAGAATTAACTCTTGAGGTTTTACCAGAAGTGATGTGGGATCTTCAACACAAAGAACCTGAACACTCAAGTCTTGCCCAGAAGACTTCAGCATGGGAAATGTTATTGCCTGATAAAGGTTTAAGATGACTTAGACCAAAGAAATTCCAGTTAGTGTCTTGTGTTAAGTTCTCCTTTCTTGGAGAAATGCTAGAACACATGGTTAAAGTAGATGCAAGCAGAGAGGTTTCTTGGGTGGCTACAGCAGCAGTGTGTGTTATGCCTGTTCTGTGTGCTTGGCTCACATCTGCCTCTGTCTTTCCAACCTAGTTAAGCTCAACTGTTTCTGTACAAACCATTTGATTATCTTTTGTTTGGTTTCTTAGTCTGTCTGCTTACTATAAACATACCTACTGTATATGTTGTGGTGTTGGAGGGCAGCAACACTGCAAAAACTTTCCCACAGTGAACTCCAAGTGGTGTTGTGACTTCAAAAAATAAATTCAACTTCCATGCTGACAAACAATCTTCATGTGCTTTAATGTCCTTCCGCTAAGACTGCAGAAGCAGCATTAAAGTGAACTTCCCTACAAATTATGATGTTAGATAAGAATGTCCTTACTCAAATTTCCTGAAGCTACTCAGCAGTTATTTCTGTAGGGAACATGCTGGCTGGCTGGGTCTGTTAGATTAAAGTAAGAACTTAGGGCAAGGTTCAGTTTAATTGTTTACCATTTCAAAATCTTAAGTGTTCTTAACTCTTTCATGTGTGTTTTTTCCATCCTTATTTTGAAAACAATGACCTTTTGTCTTTGAAGAAGCTTAAGGAGGAATATGCAACAAGCCCGTTGGTCCAAGTGGGGCTTTTCCTGAATCTTAATATATGCAACGTGCCTTCTCCCTTGTTGGCCTGGAATAAGCTGCAGTTCTGCTTTGCTCGAGATCAGCACATGCTGATAGTCATCTTCCAAAGGAGAAAGGGTGACTTTGGAAGGTGCAGAATGAAAGCACAGTATTAACATTGCTGTCCTTGTGGCATTTAGTGTGTTGAAAGAGCAGAAGCTTTGGTGTAAGTTCCTGTGACAGCTTGTGAGGGGTGAAATGTAGTTGATGTCATGAGGGTGAGTCTTGTGGACGTACTTAATGCTCCAAGTTGTGCTTTCTCTGCGCTGTCCTTACTTTTGGGAGAAACCATTTCAGCTCTGTTTGCTTGTATCAGTGCTTCACTCCTTGCTTGCATTGGTAGCTTCAGAAATGTTTAGTTTTGGCTGCTTTTAATAGAAATAGAAAATACTAAAATTAAAAATTATGGCTAATTTACTGCAAATTCAGTTTTGGCATCTGTGTCTTTATATAGTTTTATATAGGAGAGTAAAGTCGATTTCACAAATTAAATTATTTCTGTTAATAATGGGGGTCTCTTAATGGGGATCTGATCATCCAAAGCCTTCCAACTATGGTTTATGAGGACTCAAGTATTAGAAGGTGACTGTGCCAGTCCTCAGAAATTAAAACATGATTTGTTGTCTGTTTGACTGCCTTATAGAACAGGAGAATCCAAAATCTTTCCTACAGAGAAATTCAAAATGCCATTTTTGTTAAGAAGTGGTATTTACAAATTAGAGTTCAGTTCTAGTTCAAATAAAGATGTCTTTCATGGTGACATTTATTTGGTTCATACTCTTAAAAAAGCATGTGATTTACTGTTCTTCTCATGGCAGTCCTTCAGTTTCATACATATGTATTTTGGTTTGTCTTTGACCTTTTGCTTATTATTTTTAAATTTGCATGTTTCTCATAAATACAAGCTTTTTTCTTTTTTGGGCATTCTTTATTGTGATATTCCCTCTTTAATGTGGTATAATTTTGAGAACAAGAAGTTTTGCAGAAGACCAGCATGAAAAGAATGAATGTTGAGACATTAAATGTTTACAGATCAGTTTAAGTGAATATAATCCACAACAAGTAACAAAGTGGGAACATTTAACTTCAAAGCACATATGGCTGCTGTTACAAAATCAAAAAATGCAAGACTTGGGCCATACAAAGTATTAGAGACACATTTTCCTTTTTTCTCACAGGCAAGTAGGATATACCTCAGCTTTTTAGATAGGTCTTGAAATGAAGACTGGAAAAAAGCTTCATTTCATGGTCAGATAAAGGCTTTGAATTAATTGTAGATATTTGCAATAATTTTTAGCTCTGAAAAAGCAAAAGTAAAGAGTGACTGCTCATTTTGCATGGGAGGAAGGGCTTTTGGGAAATAGTTAAGCCTTGAAAACTTGGTTCTGCAGCTTTAACCTTTCCCAAACTGCACCAGGCACTGGTGAAGGGTTTCCCTTCTGCTGAGCTTTTGCAGACAATGTGCTGGAAGGAATAGTATCATGCTAGTAAAAATAGAGAGTTTTAGATAGAAGTTTCTATTGCAGGTACAAATCTGCAGGACAGAGAGCCCTCCTAAATTTTTCTGATTGAGAATTTATGCTTTTTATTTCAGTCTCCATTTATTTTTTTCTCCACTGTTGCCTGCCTTGTGTGGTTAATGCCCCATGATGTTCCCACTCCTGTTTTCCTCTCTTCACCAATCTCTTCTGTGTCCAAAATGATTGCTTGATTTAGCAGTAGCTGCAGATGGCATTCCTTTCTTCACTGGTGCCTCCCGTGGGCTTCTCATGCCAATCATTGTGGCATATTTAAAGAAAAAAAATACACCAAAAAAACCCTGAAATAAAGCCAACTCAGGGTGCTTTATATGACAGAAAGTTTAATATAAGTGTTTTAGTTAGCTTGTAGATAATAGAGTTTATTTGTTCATGTATTGGTTATCTTACACTTTCACCAATAGTGTTGAGTTATTAGATAATACTGTTCATTGAAATTGAATGTATATGTTAAACTTGGGTATCTACAACTACTTCTGGGTGAAAAATGATGACTTTTTAATATAGAAATCCTGCATAACCTTTCAGGACAGGAAACGAATAATACTGTATCAAATTGAAATTTCAGAGGAATTAAGCCTTTTTTTCCCTGATAAATTCAACACACATTTATTTCACAGTAGTGGGGAAAGTGCAAGCTTTTGATGTATTTGCCATACTTCATAGATCAATTTAGAATTTTATTTAAAAAAAACGACTGAATATTGTAAGACTTGTATTGCAATCAGATTCATACTCTAAATCTCACTGCTACATTTTACAAGATTATACCCTTGAAAGCTTTTCTTGGGTTTTGGGCATTGTCTGTGTTGTGATGTTTGAGCCTCATTGCCTGAGAAAATTAAAAAGATAGAGCTGTCTGATAGAGGAAGTGGGTTGTGAACAATGTTTTGTATTCAGTTCTTAAAAATAGTGATTAAAAAGAGCTGCTTTAATTATACAGTACTGTTAATGAATGATTTCCTTATGTTTTGTCTCTATGACTTACATATGTGGATATTGTTTCAAGGCACTTGGCTAATTTCTCAAAAACACAACACTAAAATCATTGTAATCTCTACATTTATTTTAGCTTTACAGTGGTTTAAATGAAAATTTATCCAATAAAGTTGGAAATCTTTTGGATAAGCTGTGTATTTAGCTGCCAAATTATTTTAAAACAAGCCTTGATGGAATTTTTACAACCACAGAGGTGTGAGGGAAGGGGGAGGAGGAGGGGAAATGCAATTTTTGATCCATTTGCATAGGATACATGGACACTTTAAAACTTGCTGAGTTGGTCATACCCAACATAATGATATTTTTTGAAGATTTTATCTTCTATAAGTTTTAAAAGATGGCAGGATGGTCTTGGGCCTTTGCATTCTGCTGAGTTTTCTTAAGGAAACCGTTCTAGGGGAGAAAGAATTAGTGCAGGGAATTTTTGTGTTGCTTGTAGGTTACAGCGTGTATCTAGAGGTGATTGTGTGTCAATGATTTGCACATTAATTATGTTTTATTAGATAAATTTTCTAGTGAAAAGCAGTTCTTGAGCCTGGTGTGTGCATCTAAGGGCTTAAATCTCTTTTCTTGTTGCTCTTTGGAGTCCTGCTGTGTGGAGTGCACTGCTGCTGGTTGCCTCTCAAAGGGTGCACCCAGAGCTGTCATTGGGAACTTTTTGGCATATTTGGACATATTTCTTACTGTTTGTAAAAAATAATAAGACATTGCTGACGTTGCTTTTTTTTTTTTTCCCCTCTCTAACTTGTTTTTTAGTTGGAAAATCCAAGATACTTGCGGGAAAAACCAGTGCCAGTGACTTTGGTAGGTATTTGGTTTCCCTTGGTATTTTATAAGGGCAAACAAACATGCTTAGTATTTTCTTATTTCTGGTTAGGATTGATTTTACTTGGAGCTTTGAAATTAAGTTATTTCGGGCTTTTTCTCCTTCAATAGATGACACCCAAAATTGGCCTAGGAAAAAGCAGCAGCTTCCGTGATCAACAGGCACAACTTCGAATGTATGAAAAAGAGGTAAGATTCTGTTTAGTCTTATTAGAAAAGGAAATTTATACCCAAAATAGTAAGTTAGGGCATTTTCTTTGGAAATTTTTCCATGGAAAAACTAAATACTTCATGTATTTCCCAATTACTTAGGGAATAAAAAATACTTTTTAAACACATTTACTCTTCCTTTGAAGGAATTTTTACTGTAGAAGAGTTTGAATTCTAGGAATTTTGCAAACTACCTTTTAACAGAAGCAATGAAACCCTTGATTTAGTGAGGATTTTTGCTTTAAAAATCTGCGGATTTCCAGTAGGACCTACATTATTTCTGTATTTGCCTCATCTAGCTCTAATGCTCTTTTATTTGTATGGGTTTCTGTAAGATTTCTTTTTTTAACGTTGTTAACTGGGGAAATTACTGGTAAAGCTGACCTATTTAATCTTCCCATACTATGTTGTTATGTTTTGAACATGTACAAAACTAAAGTTTTGTGGTCACTTTACCTTTTTCATAGTTTAGGAAGCTGTGCACCTATGATCTGTTTCTTGTAAAGTTCTTGGTTTATTTGAAACATCAGTCATGGGATAAAACTCAGACTATATTTAGCACATGGACATTTCAGATACATCTGAAAGCAAGTGTTGCATATTTCTCTTGGAAAGTCAGTGAATCACTGGTCTGTTGGACCAGACTTCAGGAAAGGAAATTCAGCATGTATTGGGAATAAAAGATTAAAAAGAAAACCCCAGGACTCCTCTCTTTGCCTTTCAATTTTCTGTGTTCAGCTCTGGGAAGATGTGCTGGATGTGCACAGTTCCTTAGCTAGCCTTGAGTACCTAGACCTACATAGGTCTCCAAATATGTCTGAGCTAGAAAGGAAGGAACATCATCTGAAAGCCATGAAGCTGTCCCTTCTCTTATGCTGGCTGCTGCAAGGATGCTTATGAATTAGAACTGCCCTAAAGTTACTTTGGAGGACATTTCAGAAGTGTCTTTAACTGAGATACAGGGAGGGTAAATTAGCTTTGTAGATACTTCCATTGTTAATTAAATCACATGTGTGTAAGTCTACTTTGTGCTGAAAGCTGGCAGTTGAATTTGATGCTTCAACAAGCAGCCTGACATGGCAGTTGCACAATAGATGTGTCTCTCACTTTCTCTGCTCTAATATTGGCTGCTCTGTTGCATTGACAACGTTCAGCCCAGCACTGCCTGGGGCTGAGGCAAGGCAAGGTTTCATAAGATGTGAAAATAGACCAAAAAATAAATAAATTGAAAGCACAATGTTGTCATTTACATAATATTTTCAAATTAAATAAACAGGAATGCATGCCAAGTAGCTGCATAAAATACTCAGCAAATGCTGCTTCAGTTCAGTGGAAAAATCCTCTAAGCCACACTGTAAAAATCCAGTACTTTTTGCTAATGGTACTTGACTGTGGGCTAGTTCAAACTGGAAAGGTTATAGACAGTATTTCACAACCACCATGTGTGTGCTATTAAGTAGAAAACTTAAATGTGTTTTCATCTTATTTTGTTTGTGAAGCTCAATTAAGAATAAAGCCTTTTCATTTCTGGAATGTAAATGTATTAGAGGAAAAATAGTGCTGAACAGAAGACTTCTGGTAAACCTTTGACTGTTTTCAACCTCTTTGTAGTAGAAGGGAGAACATAAAATAGGATAACTGTGGTTTTTGGCTTTTAACCTTTAGACCTTTGTTCATAAACCATTCCTGCACCTGTTTGGACTCTGTAATGCTAAACACATGGCCATGCTCAGTGAGAACCACATCACAGATTTATGAAAATGTGAGTGTCATCAGGCAGTGGGTTTTAGTCATAATTTCCCCAAATCCTTCTGACATGGATTAAACTGTTTGGGAAACCGTCACTACTGAGAAATCATGGGTTCAAATAAGGAAGATGCAGCAAAACAGGAATATATCAGCTTTCAGCAGTACAGCAAAACAGAACAGATGGCATGACTGGTTTATCTTGATAAATAGGAAGAAACGTCCCTTTGAACTTCACCTTCAGTCCTCTGGAGAGCCAGCCAGTGCTCCATGGAGCAGAAGGGGGGGGAAGAAAAAGTTCTTATTTGTCCTTTTTCAGCAAAACAGAATCAGTACCACTGATTGAAATCAGTGGGTTTGAAATCCTTTTGGAATTAAAAAACAAGTTTAGATATGTTAATAAAATACAAGGTTTTGTTAACCTTTCTCAAACTACTAGTTTATTTGTTGAATCTTCTAAACAAGTTTTGTTCTTTCTTTAAAGAAGATCTGTTTCTTGATTTATTTATTTTTTTCATTTTGTCAGTCTCAATTTTTCTCCATCTCTTATTTTGTTCATGTAAGCGAAGGTATTTATCTAGACTCAGCAACTGGAACCTAAACAAATCTGAGGCAAGAATATTGGAAATAATTGTATCTTTTTCTTTTAAATGGGAAGTTATAATTAACACCAGGAGTAAATTTGTACTGAGGCATACATCAACTCTGACAGAATTTTTTTAGGCTGACTGGCAAGCTTGATGCTTTGTGCAATGATGCTGTGATGAAGCTTTGTCTGTTAACTGAGAACATGGAGTATTTACAGGGTCTTTGTTGTCTTTGTCACTGTGCTCCTGTCACTTCTCTGTTTAGATTTTTGGAAATCCAGTGATAAAGTCTTTAGATACTGGAGCCTGAGTGTTTTTTCAGCCTCTTGTATACTAAAGCAGTCTGGCAGAAACCTACCATCAGCTGGAGTAGGAGTTAGGGCAGAGCAACTGGAGGGAGGAGTAGTTCTGGGGAAAGCAGTGAGTGAAGTTTCAAGAGGATACAGAATTCCTGCAGGATAATTTCCACCAGTTTGTCTTGTGGAAAGAAGATTGAAGGAGAGAGAGTATGTGCCTGGGAATAAAGTGGGATGAGCTAGGTAGTGAAAGATAGCTTAAGACTGTAGAGAATGCGAAAGAGAAATCATTTTCCCCTGAAAATTCATTGAAGACTGGAAGTAAGATGAAGAGGGTGGTGGGTTTTCTGTAATCAGGAATCATGTTTAACGTACAGCCTTTTTAAAGAAAACCAAAACCCTGTTTAGAACCTTTATCTTTTTAACCTTTATTTACATTTATCTCTTTTTTTTTTTTTCCCCCTGTGAATGAGCACTCCCATTTGTTGCATGACACAAATTTTGTTTATAAAGCTCATCAAGCCAAGTATGTGGCTTTGCTGCACCAAAAGTGTTGGTCTGGTGAGATATTTATGTTACGATAAAATCAATGTGCTGCAGTGATGACGTTGTAGTCAAGTCATGGTCTGGCTTGAAGTGTTCTGCATTGAAGATGTTGAAAGCAGCAGATTTACTGTGCTTCTCACTGATCTGGCAAGAGATGGATTATAGCCTGAAATGAAGAGAGTTGCATAAGGGCTGTGATACAGATTTTCTGCAAAAGGGACCATACAGAGAATAAGGAGGGAAGAAAGTTGTGGAGCTTGAGAGGGAGAGTGAAAACACTTGGTGGTGGTGTTATACAGAAGAGGTGGGGTTTTAGGAGGGGAGGGAAAAAAAACCCAAAGAAAACTTGAAGATAAAAACCCATGCGTTTAGAAGATGTTGATCAGTGAGCATTGTCCTTTTGGCTTTGATTTCTTCCTCTTAGTTGCTCCGTTCTATAGCAAAGTACGCAAAGACATGAGTTAAATGCTTAACACGTGCCAGATTAAAGCAATAAATGCAACTAATATGAAGACTGTGTCCTAAAAGGATTCTTGTAATCAAACTAAGCTTTTACCAGTGTAAAATTAACATTATTATGCTTTTAGCTTGTCAGAGACTGTTTGGTGACCTCTCAGGGTATGTGGAACATTCTTTTTTCACTGTGCACTTTTGGGATATAAAAAAGATTCACCTCCCTCAAAACCCACCCAATGAGACATCACCATTTGATATATTTTCCTCATTGAAAACAGATATTTCGTCCATATCTTCCAAAAATGGGAACAAAAGATTTCAGTATTGTTCTCTTATCTAATACAATGAAATAAAATGTTTGCATGCTCATGTGTGTGTCTGTCTCTGGAGTTTAAATCTCCATGGTAGATGGATACATTTATATATGGAATTGGGAGAGCTGAGCACAGCTGATGGAACCTACCCAGGCATGTAATGGGGCTGCTGATTCTGTTTACAATTTTAAGCTTGGAAGTATTTACTAATAATATGAAGAGAGTGTTTTTGCTGGACTTTCTGAAAACATTTTTATTGCAAAGGCATCTGTAGGTGGGACTGAAAATTGTACCTTACAACAACTGGAGATTCATGTGTCCAAATATTTTTTTCTTCTTTTACTTTATTTCTGCTTCTCTCCCTGTGCTGTTTCCCTTTTGTTGCCCTCTTCATCCGGAGCTGTCCCAGGTCATACTTTAGACATCTTGCTGCTTTGCCAAGGATCCTAAAAGAAAAGGTTCTTATATTTTTATTTTAGTGAATATTCTTATTAAAATGTAAGAATGCATGTAAGAATTCAGTTTGCAGAAGTGTGGACCGTAAGAAGGGACAAGAAAATGCAAAAAGGCAGATATGACATAATTATTGCTTTCATCTAATTTTTTCATAGCTTTTTTCTAATGATAACTTTGTTCTGAAAATACTGGTTTATTCCCCTTAAAAATATGCCAAGCAGTGTGTATTGTGACTTATTCTCTGGTTCATTTGAATTTCCTGCTTTTAACCACAAACCTGATGTCTATTATGAAGGCAGTGTCTGATTTATATTGAGATTGCAGTTGCAAATTGATACTTACCACCAAGTGATCATTCTGAATAGTGATCTGCTAGTTCATGTTTAAAAAAGCAGCAATCTTGACTTCTGTTAACATGGTTCCTGGCTGATTAATGTCCTGTTCCTAAGAACATGTGCAAGTTGTCCATTGTCTTCTGTGTGAGGAAATCACATCCTGTCTTGCTTTGATAACTCTTCAGAACGTAATGTAATAAAACCCAAACCTTATTTTATTGCTAGACTGGTGTGAGACATACA